GGCAGGCATAGAACGTCGTCGAATATTTAATCCTCACTGCCTATTAATGGACAAGAAACGTCAGTGATACAGATCTTAAAAATAGCGAGCTGCCAAAATAAAAGAACATAGGTGACGCAGCTAATTAACTCGACATGGGAGATGTTTGTGGTGTAAAATTATAGTGCGTCAATTTTTGGCTCATGACTATCTTATCTAATGATACAGAGAAGCGAACAAAGAAGTGATATTTTATTTGCGATAACCATTACACGACGCAGTACATTTCTTTCATTGGCCGGCATGCAAACAAAAAATGGCGAAGAATCTCCAGGTGGAAACTTCTCGTCGTGAAGACCGATATAAAAAACAATATGTCATGCAGCTCTATTCCGTGTCTGTCGACCGCAAGGCATATGAAACGGGTATCCGTTTCGCATGTAGGGCTCTTGTAGCCCATTCAGCCTGCCGGATGGCGCGGGTTTTTGTGCGGCGAAATCGAGAGCTTGAGGCTATGTTAAGGCCGGAAAAATTTACAATGGCTCACATTTCCCGATCCTTTTTGGGGAACAAAAACAATTCCAAATGTTGCTAGACGACCAAAGCAATCCCCCTCAAACTTCACAACTGTCTTTTGCATCGCAAGTCATAAGGGGAAATTGGAATACACGCATGTAGATTAGTGCCGCGTATTGACAGCAGCTAACCTATCCGTTTCGTTCAGTTTCTGAACACCCTAAGAATCCAAAGATCCAGCACTATTGGCTGGTAGCCGGCTCGTACGCCCATACGACGCAAATAAACAGCGCCCAAGTTCGTACTTCGCTTCATGAAACTAGCTCTGACTTTTTTATATACTAGGCATGAGCGACAACCGACGAAAACATTCAAAGTAATATTCTCCGAGTCTGCGGCAGAGCTCGCCGCCATGGTCATGAGCTCGAATGAAGGGATTTCACTAACTCCGCGAAATATATCACCGGAGCAATCTGACCACCGCGATCGTTACCAGCAGGTCCCCCAGGCCGCCAGCGGCAAGATGGGCCGCCAGCAGCACCCTCTGCGACTACAGCGCCCCTGACGGTCAATTTTGATACCGAATCTAGTCGGAGTTTGTAAGTTTCCGAAGCGTGCGCGGCTTCATCCCCTTCCGTGATCCCCACGGCCACGTTTGCAGCCTGTTGATCCTGATGAATTGTTAATGGAATCACGCATCTGACTAGCTTATGTGACCCGGTGGTAAAGAACAAAACTGTTCAAGCATTGACAAGAACAAGCTGAGCTCGACTTCATTATACGAAACCACAGACCAAGCAACTCGCACTGAAATATAATTTTTCTAAACGACACAGATACGACGCAAATACGACATACGACAACGACGTAGTTACATGCACACGTTCTATTCTTGAGCGACCCGAAAATTAAGATCCGAAGTAAATCGATTCATGTTCGCTGCTTACCTACAATCATGACTGTTTAGGTGTATGTGCACTCATAGAAAATTGCCTCATACAGCTAGGCCGTGGTTGAATTCACGCGGTACTCAGCTGCATTCGATCATTCTTGGCGGGCATAACTACCAAGAGTGGTGTTCACCTCGGTAAATTGTGTACATTCTAGTCGGTCAACAGCACAGGTGGACTCAGCACGGCTCAATCACGCTTCGCAGCTGGATGTGGATCAGGATGACAGGTGTCGGCGACCCCGTCAGGTGCCAGCTGACCCCGAAGCCGGACCAGGTCACATGCCAAGCGCGCGCTCTGCGACGCAATGCCAATGACGTCACCTCATTTCATCACGCAAACCGTTTGTGACCCGGACCACACCTGCGCCGTCTACGGAGCATCGGTGTTATGTCACATTTGTCCCGGGACCAGCGCTGCCACCGATCCGCTAAAGATTCGCTCGCACGCAGTTACCGTAGCCTCACTCCGTTCGCTGTGATGCCAGGTTGTGGAACGATGTTCTAAGCAACATTGGTATGTCTCTGCACAGGCCAAGGGTAGCGAACAGGGGTCTTTTGGACTAAGCGCCCCTTCCTTGTAAATGTCGAGGGTCTCCTGGGACCTACGGCCCCAAAACTTTTGAACAGTCTGGCGCCTGTAGGGCTTCTCAACAAAACAATAAGCCCTGGGGACATCAAAAGGGGACCCGCGCCGAAAAAGTTCCCCGGATCTCCAAGCAGGGCATCTAAAAAGGCGAATTAAAAGGGGACCCTATGGATGAAAGGGCCCCTGTGCCCCGACTTTATGCACCCCGAACGAGTATGTCTGCTACGCATGTCGGTTTCTCAATCTCACATTTTCGGGAGCCACGGCAGACTTCAGCGCTTGTTCAGTGGTGTTCGGATAACAGTTGAAAAGCCTCCAATGGTTATTGTTTTGGAAAGCCATCTTCCGCGAACATTCAACTAACATGCACCGAAGCCGGGATGTCACATTGGTACCGCCGGCAAAACTGGCGCCGGCAAGAGTGCTACGATATTGGTCACGCGCGTCATTATTTTGGCCGCAAAAACTTATACAGACTTAACTCATACGCGACATTACTTCTAATATAGAAATTTCTACGCGACATTGGTGATGCATGACAGAACTTTTGCTTCCACGACTTACACCCATCATTACTTCTACTGCAATCTTAGTAATTACTTATTGGCGACATATCATCTGTTACACCAACTTATACGCTACGGTACTGTTCTACAAGACAAAACTTATCCTTCAAAAGCTTATCAGTCGTTGCATCCACTGCAAAAACTTAGCCATTACTTGTACGTGATATTACTTCTACAACAGCTTGTACGGAACAATAGCACTGCATGAAAAACTTATGCTTCAAAAATTTGCGTCATTGCTTCTAGTACAAAACTGGTACAATCGTCACTTATGCCCAACATCACTTCAAATGCAAAAACTATGCTCCTCATGAGTGCAACACGAGGAACTTGTACTGCAAAATCTTATACCCGGCATTACTTCTGCAGTAAAACTCGCGGAACATTAATTGACTCATCGCCCGTACCGTGTAGCATAATATAACAAATGTCTTTGCGGTACACTAAAAAGTTTCAACTCCATTTGGACTTCACGACGTATCTTCTATAGAAATTGTCGTGCATAATTTATGGGTATTTCTTATATATGACATTTGTTGGAGAAGTAAAGTTGTGGATATTTTATGGCTGAAAAAGTCTGATGTAAAAGTAAGGACAGATATAAATTTTTGAATTGTAGGTTGTATCGCGTAGCACTTTTGTCGTGTATACGTATTGGCAAAAGTATTATCGTAGCACTTTTGTCGATAGAAGTTTTTGCTGTAGCGTACTGTAGCGGTTGTACTGTACTGTAACTGTTGCTGTAGCGGAGCCGAAACCGAAGATGCAACCGCGCTGACGCATGCCACCGTCGGTCTGGGTGTGGGAACATGGTCTGCTGTGTGATCCAGCAGCGCCCCGTGGGTATTACACGAAATGTTTCGCGTTTGAAGATATTGAAGTATAAGATAGGATGAATAGTGAACATGCTCCTCCATACGTCACGGCTTTGATTACGTCACCGTACCTTGCACAACATCGATTGAGTCAATTGTCAAAATTGACTCAAATCAAAAAATGACAAAAAAACAAAAATTGAGTCAAAAGTCAGTCAACAAAAAAAGTCAACAAACAAGCCGTTATGTCTGGAAATCGTGCTCACGAACGCCAAATGTGAACGAACCTACCATTACACTTTTATCGGCCTTCGTCGCCGACTGGCTCATGGCAGGGGAAGATTTAAATGACGTTAATATGGCGTCGTGGGTGCTAAAGTGCCCATAAAACACCTTCCCCATTTACGCGGGCGTTTAACTCCGAAACTAGAGGGATTTAGGTCCTAAGAAAGGTAGGGCTATGAACTGCGCCAAAAGGTCTTCAAGATGGTTATTTCAGTTCAAACTCCGACAAAATATGGAACACTCCCCTTCACACTGTTGCCCACCACGTGCATTCGAAGTGTAACATTGCCCGGCACCGACTTTCCGACGCTGCCAGCCCTGAGTACACCCCCAACGTGGTCTTTATACACGGACACCTGTCGTCGGTCCCGTGGTACGGCAGTACCCCAACTGCAATCCATGCAGGCTTTCATACGGACGATGCTGTCTGCTCGAGCTCCGCAGAACGAGCCAGCACGGAGCCTGTCCGTTCCCACACGTCACTCGAGCAGTGCGGGTCAAGTGACGGGCATCCAGCTGGCCGGACTCCCAGGAGTCGGTTGATGGCGATCCCAACAGAGGGGCCGGAGAGCACGGTCAACGGCGGGACGGATGCCGGCCGGCCGCCGTTCCCATTATTGCGCGCACGTTCTGTTCGGGCCTGCCTCTGTGGTCTACGACGTACTGATGCGCTGTGGGCGGTGTCATGGCCCCGCCGCGACACCGCAGTAATTTGCAAACAAATCTCGACTAGCACGTGCCGCACCCGTCCCCCCAGCCTCTCTCTGGAACATCCCGCAACGCTACCTCGCGAATTTCTGTATGAGGCCTATTCCTGAATCCTGAGCTACACCTCTGCCTGTAAAACCAGCAGCCACGCTCACAAACATGCTTCTTCCTCTCAGCTTCCCCATTAATAATAGTCGCAGAGACCACTGCAGTATCATCGAGCGATGACCACTGCGTACTGGAAGGCCTCTACTTCATCGCATCACCGCGTCGACCCGAGCGCCGCCGGACCGTGCGCTGCTCCGACGGGTCGGCGGCAAAGACGTCACACGCCCTATATTGCCGACCTAAACGCGCATCTACCTACTCCCGTGGCCAGCGAGCGATCAAGCCGCGACTAACGCCCGCCCGCTCCGGGATCAAGCCGCGACAAACAGCCACCGCTCAGGGATCAAGCAGCGGCAAACAGCCACCACTCCGGGATCAAGCAGCGGCAAACAGCCACCGCTCCGGGATCAAACCGCGACAAACGTCCGGCTGTTCCAGGATCAACCACGACAAACAGCCGGTCGCTCCAGGATCAAACCGCAACAGCCGACCGTTCCGGTCCGATCGTCCGTGTATTGTTTCTCTCGGCGCGCTCGCGTCCACAAACACTACCGAGACGTGATGGACACCTGCCACACCCGAATCTTGTTGTCCGAGTAGCCGGCGAACAGGGTCTGGCCGTCGCCGGACCAGGCGAGGCTGAGACACTGCGGCAGGTCGCCCTTGGCCGACAGGTTCACCACCTCCGGCTTCAGCTCCTCCACCATCTGCTTGCCCTCCAGGTCCTGCCGGCGAGGCGACGAGGTCAGACGGCGACGTCGACGGCACGGCGTCATCACGCTTGGTGAGGCTTCGCTACAGCGGCGCACATCGGCACCTATCCCAGTCAGACCCTACCATGGCGGCCACCAACGGGAGTATCGACGTACGGTACTACTTATAAATGCTCAGATCCTTAAGTATGGTAAATCCCTCAGCATGGCAAGTAAGGGATACAGCTTCTGGTTTTTCTGCGGATCAGTCCTTCCGCTGAAAATGGCCGATGCACAATGCATCGGGATGCGTGCCTCAGGTGGGCATTTTCGGCCGAACAACCCAAATCATGAGCGTTGTGGTGCCGGCTGAGTTTTCATCGAGGCTTCCGGACTTCCGTAAGTGTCCATTACAGACGGCGGCGGCCATGAGACCTGACCGACGGTTTAGTAAGTTGCACGGAATCCCGTACACAAATGCATGCTACGGAACCGTCCGCCGCGGCCTCTCCTCAGATTTCAATGGCGACACTGCGGAAGCCTCCGCAGAATGGTCCCGATACACCATTGGCGTCACGCAAGGACAACGAGGCTCCCGAAAACGCGAATTTATAGAGGTTTCGTGGCTCACTTCGGATGGCCGTTTCCGGCATGTCTCCTTCCAACATGAAAAAGATCGACGCAACATCACGTGCATCTTGGGACCTGCCACATGTCTTACCAACCTTGACTTCAGCGCTACATGCACCAGGGCTTCAGTCCAGTTACACTAACACAAACGGCCAGGGGCCCGTGAACGCGCCCCCCCCCCCCCCCCCCCCCAACGGGCACCACCAAACACCCTGCGCTGCGAGTCCAGCCGGCCGCGACCCCGCCAGCGGCCGGAGCCGTGGCGTGACGTGACGTGACGTACCCAGATGCGGACCGACGGCCCGGTGGCGGCGCACAGCCAGTAGCGGTTCGGCGAGAACACCAGCGAGTTGATGGTCTCCGTGTGGTCCAGCGTGTACAGGTGCTTGCCGTCGTTCAGATCCCACAGCATGGCGCGCGCGTCCTGTCGGAGACAGACAGGCAGGTGACGTCACACACGTGCAGGTGCGCCGCGGAAGTGACGTCACAACGCGGACGGGGGGGGGGGGGGGAAATGCGTGCGGTCAGGGACAGTTACACCGCGATACTCTAAACTTGTCTCATGACAGAAGGCGTTAACCAAGACAACGCAAAACGAAGGCACGAACACGGGGTACTTCCGAAAGATTTCCAATTATTTCCGACGAGGCTTATATTTCGTATGAGGCTAGACGCCTGTCATATAGCTAACAGGCAGGGTGGCTGTTGGCTGTCGCCCTGCTTTGGAGCTATCTGTGTCACTATTGCACCAGATTCCACCAAATTCATTTACGGGGCAATGAATCTGTCTACTAAGGTGCGTAATGCCTCCACCAAGCACATTCCTACATCAATTCCACGTAAGTCTGCATCAGACAAAATCAAGGCAACACTGCATCAACCTGCGGAGTGATAACCAAACTCAATCACATCGCGAAGTGATTGATCGCATCACGTCGACACACACGCGTTACACATTTAAGTATTGTATAAGTATGAAGGCTGCGTTTGGACACGGTCATGCAGCGTCCAGTGACCAACCGCAGGGTTGAGCAAACCGCATCCAATCCAACACCGGGTCCATACCCGACCCACCACGACCAACAAAGCCCATAGCACAGACGGTGCCACAGGCCACAGTGGCCTGACACGCGAAACAATGGCGGCCGGAGACGACAACGATACCGGGGCTCGAACCTGGACCCGCCGAGTGACAGCCGACGGCGCTCACCACTCGGCCATCACGCCGCGCCCTGACCCGGTGACTGACCTTGCCGCCGGAGGCGCAGAGCGAGCCGTCGGGCGAGATGGTGATGGTGTTGAGGTAGCCGTGGTGGCCGCCGTGGTTGGTCTTCAGCTTGCAGTTGGCCAGGTTCCACACCTGGCGATAGGCGGCAGGCGTCAGACGCGCCGCCACGCGCCGCGCCCCTGGGACACGCCCCCAAACGGGAACAGGGACGATCGCCAGCACGTGACAACGAATCCCACCGCACCAAAGAAGATGATGACTAGTTCGGCTTCAGGGCGCGCCGACCGCTCTGGTCATATGGCGCCTATGGGTGCTCTGCAATCGTGCGCGAGAAAACGGTGCTGCCAATACCCCCCCCCCCCCCCCCCCTCCCTCACGCAGTACCACACCCATCAGCCGGTCTCACAGCCGAGAACAAACGAGGCCGTTCAGCCCCCGCCCACTCCCTGCAGGCGCCGCTCCTGTCACCCGTGTCCAGCTGATGGGAGAGGCTGCGGTTGCCTGGCGAGTGTTACATGGAGCCACGGCCGATCGGCGGAGCCGGGAGCCTCTCCTCCCCTCCCCCAACCGCCAGCCGTCCGCCACGGTCTGGTCCATGGCAGCCACACACCAATATAGGTAAAAATAAAAACCGCGCGCAGCACTGAATTGTGAGATTGCGCTGACTTTTAAAAAGTCAGGTTGACAAACTCAACTGTTAGGCTGACTTGCGTTGGAATAAATGCAATGGACACATATTGTGTAGAAGACATGTCACATCCAAATTAACTAAGTTCCGACTCAACGAATGGTTGGTACTCATCGGTGGAATCACAAGGTTTCTGACCTATGCACCAGATTGTTGTGCAGCAGCTGTGAGCCTGCTTGATAACATTTCTTGTCATATAGCTAACAGACAGGTAGACAATCAAGACATCAACCCGTTTTGGAGCTATATGCGTCACTATTGCACCAGATTCCACCAAATCCATTTACAGGGCAATGGATCTGTCTACTGAGGTGCGCTTCTCCCGAGCCATCACGGCACATTCTGACCCATACGGCAATGATGCCGCGGTCAAACCCGGCATTCCAAGAGCCCAGCTATGCGCCGACATGGCGGGACGCCTTCTGCTGGGGCCGAGGCGGCAGTGGTCCTTCGAGGGGCTGCTGTCTGGATCCACGGGTCTAGGGGGTCTCCCCCGGGCTACCGACATTTTCACGGACCCTCGCTTCCACGGGATGTGGCGATGCTCGCCGTAGCTCCCACGCACGTCGACAATCAGGCATCAATAGCGTGCCCGCTCCCATTGTCATGGACCGGCTCTGGGACTCAGAGGTGTTTGTTACCGGCCTACGAGTTCCAGCGCGTGCACCGCCGTGCCAATAACCCCCAAATGTATTGCACTGCCAGTTCAAAACGCCCGGATTTACTCCCTCCTCCAGCCTTTTGTGTCTACATCAATTACACAACACCTACGCCAAACTGGCGCCACTTTTACGGATATGGTCGTCACGTTGGAAACCCTCGCGCCATTTGCTGGGAGTGCGCAGAAACACCGCGCGTGTCACCTCACACGCAGACACCCAATGAGGAGACGAGCACTGTGTCACAGGGCTAGATTGACCAACACTGACATCCCCGATTTTTCAATTCAGGAAAATTTCTATTGGGGCAAATCTCTCAAATGCAATTTCTGCATCCTCACAGTGAACTGCAAAATGCCATGGCATAATCCAGCATACTATCTAATAGCGCCGAGAATAGAAAAATATCATAAACGGACCGAAGCACCTGGTTGGGGGATGAAGGACGACAGGGAAGTGAAACCGATTCGGGCACAAAAATATCTTCCGAAATGGAAGCAATTATTTAGCGTTACAGGTGTGCGACTACCATGGTCAATTTCCACTCAGCAGAATTGATCTTGATTCACTTGATTCTTTTCAATTACACCAACACATCACATAACCCTTACCACCCCCCCAAGGCCGCACCTGCTCCGTCTCCCCGTGCCCCCACCCCCGCCTAAACACCACCCGCCATTTGCCATCTGCCTCACCTTGACCATCTTGTCCCAGCCGGCGCTGACGATCAGCGGGTTGGAGGTGCTCGGCGAGAAGCGCACACAGCTGACCCAGTCCGAGTGGCCGTCGTCCTGGATCGTGTACTTGCAGTCGGCCAGCGTGTTCCACAGCTTCACCGTCTTGTCGCGCGCGCCCGAGATGATCTGGCGGTTGTCAGCCGAGAACGCCACCGACAGCACGTCCTTGGTGTGGCCCTCGAACCTGCGGTAAGTGAGGTGAGATGAGACGAGACGAGACGAGACGAGACGAGACGAGACGAGTTGAGTTTAGACGAGGTGAGATGGGGAGGCGACGCGAGAGGACCGCTCGGCCGCGGAGGTAATCACGTTCTGAGATCAAACATGCGGCCAAATTTGTCCAGACAATCAGGACAGAAGGTCCGTTCCATCTACTCCTCACAATTAAGATGTCAAGTGCAGCCAACTGGCAGTCAAAACATGCATGAACTACATGGCAGGTACACCGTGAGGCTTGGTGGCCTGCTTGAGAGCGGGGACTGGTCCACATGAAGGACCAAACAACATTAACAAACCATTTGCAAATGACGATCTCACTGTCCACATGGCCTAGCCCGCTGCGCACATTCAGCCCAAGCTAATGCCACAAAGTTCATGCAAACACAAAACATCCAGCCAGCCCAGACCCCCCTAAAACCACCAGTTACACCGAACGCCGCCATAAGTAAAACGTGTGATGCATAGAATGCCCACAATACCGAGACGAGAAGAGAGGACAGCAGTCTTGGCCGCGGTGCGTGTCAACCGAACGCCGCGTGTTGTTTGGAGGACGGCGTTGGAGGTCGGCGGCGGCACGAGCGGGAGCGTCACGCTGCCACGCCACGGCCGACAGCGCCACGCTCCCCACGTCTCCGGCAACGGGCCTCGCATGACGCGTGGACTTAGTGTGACAGCATCGCTGTGGAGCGTGCCAACGACCGGCGCGTCCCGTCTTTTTGGGGGTAGAGGGAAAGGGGATGAGAGGGGGACAGTAAAGGACATACAGCGCTGCACGCACGCTGTGACCGACCTGTAGATGATGTTGCAGAGCGGGTGGGGGGGGGGGGGGGGGGCGAGGGAAGGGTGATGCGTTGCGCCGCAGGTGAACTCCACGCGATGGATGTAGGGGGCTGCCGCACCAAGGAGTGGGGGGAGGGGGGGGGAAGGGTTCCGAGCTATCCCGTGAGCAGCCTGCATGTGACGTGATAGGAGGGTGACGGGTGAGGGGACGGGTGGGCGAAGAGCACAGGGAGGGCCGCGTGTCGCCGCACACCTGCGCGTGGTGTTGCTGGTCTGCAGGTCCCAGAGGCGCAGCGTCTTGTCCCAGGAGCCCGAGAGGGCGTAGTTGCCGTCGGACGACATGACCACGTCGGTGATAAAGTGGCTGTGGCCCTGTAGGCGCTTCTGCGGCACGCCGTACGTGTTCTCGTCCCGCGTCAGCTTCCACATGATCAGCGATTTGTCTGCCGGGTGGGACAGGCGACGGCATTAGGTGGGCAGGCAGGCGGCAAAAGCATCGGGACTGGGGTCCAGTGTGGGCCAGTATACAGACTCGCGGACAAGAGTCAGCAAGTTTAGGAATGAGTCAAGTCAGCCAGCATCATAATGGCAACTCACAAGTTCTAACAATTTGGTGACAAGTTCACTCACTCAATACCCACCTTTCATCCCATTACATGGTAGTGCCACAGCCTGCATTGGACCCCATTCTACCTGCTGGCACTCACCCTTCACACAGTGATGTACACTTGGACTATATATGGTATGGAAACAGCACTTAGTCTGAAGGCCCAAACACATTATGCTTGTGGTATGTTTGCAACTGCCAAATCTTCCCACAAAGATGTCATCCCATGGTGTGAGGGAAAGACGCTGGACTTGCGGCCCAGCCATACTGGTTGTGATGATAGGGCAGGTACCCTGTGTGACCCAAATTGCATGCAAAGTTGGATAGCAAATTAATGGTCAGTGTCAGCCCATGTCTGGGGTGGCTATGTCACAGTGCTGCATGGTATGCAAAACCCTCCCCAATCCTGTCTGGTGAACACAAGACAAACCATTCGTGAAACTGGGAGGGGGGGGGGGGGTACAACTAGGGTGGTGGTATCATGGTCTATATCAAAGCTTTGCATGGCAAACACTCTACACTTGAAAGCCATCCAGTGCAAAACACGCAGATGCATGCACTCGGTGTGTGTACTTTCCCACCTAACACTAGAAAAAATCATTGTACACCATTTGTCCTGTTTAAGGTGGAACATATCATAAATAATCTCAAAACAGGTAGAATCATGCTCCTACCTTCAAATTTTAATAACTATGATAGCAAGTTCCCGAGTGCCACACCCACCACCTTGACTCCCCCGTGTTGTTTCTGCATTGACATTGGGTAATTACAAAATTTCCACTTATCAAGAACCATAAAAAATGTATGGGACCATGGTAACAATAATAATGCAATGAAAATTGTTTCTTATCGCATTTGGGTACATTCATGAAATCCACAGGCCAGGATAGTCCAGAACATAGCCTAAACTAGCCTAGCCTAACCAAACCTAACCTAAGTTTATGGTTCCTGATGCTGTTTGATGTGCAGTAATGTTGTGACTGTGCACAGTAATGGCGCCAGAGTCGCGGCTGTTGTGTTTGCAGCAGTCAGATGTTCAGTATCATAATTAGTTAAGTTCCAAGGTAAGAGTATAGATGACCTGTTTCTTGATTAATTATATGTTCTGCCTTAAAAACAACAATTGATGTACAATGCTCTTTTGTAACATGAGGTAGGAAAGTACACCCTGACCATGCACTCAAACCCCATTCCAAAGAAGGCTTGGAGTTCCAGGCTTTCTTGGAAAACAAGGAAATTGCAATGAAAAACTGTGCGAAATATGGTAGAGATTTGGCTATAATCCGCAAGCAGTGTCACTCATTTAGTGGTATGACATGTGATGCTGTTATTTTCAGGAGCAGCTCGCCTTTATCTGGCATCCCTACAGAGAACAATTCCTTAAATTTGTTTCCAGTATATTTGTGGAGAACACAATGTCTTAGGTCTAAAAACACCACAAAACAACCAATTTTCAGACACTGAATATGCTCATTCCTAATGTCAGTGCGCTTTAAAAACAGCCAACAAAGTTTATACCATGGGAACAAATCAAGGCCACAGTGTAAGATTTTGCTGAATTCACAGGATAATATCTTAATGTTCACACATCTTTTTATCCTAACAGTGTTTCAAGCTTGTATAACATCATTTCACAAAAGTTTTGCAAATCACTGTGCTGTTAACATTACAGAACACCACTTTGCAATATACTCCTGCACATCCACCATTGCAACATCATCATTCATTGACGTTTGGCCACTTTGCCATGAAATTGGTGATCATGCATTATAATGAGCAATCAGATTAACTGCACCCTTGTGATCACATTTTTGACAAAATGTTACTGCTACACTGCATGTAAAATGTATTTTCCCTGTCTGCGTTAACAATTGGCATCAACTACCGCAGCAACGCAAGGGCACCAACATGTGCTTGGCAGATATTCTGGAGTATATTCAAACATGACTAGTTGTTCGGCCAGGAGACGCCCTCAACCTTGCACCGCCCAGATATTTCTATACCCGCTAAAAATAATAATATGCCTGTTTGCTTACCGCGAGACGACGACAGGATCATGTCCGGGTACTTGGGGTTGGAGGCAATCTGGGTGACCCAGCCATTGTGCCCCTCAAGCACACCCTTCAGCTGAAGGGTCTCGTGAGTGTCCGTCATGGTGCACGACACTATCACAGCGAAATTCGCTGCTTTACATTCAACGTTACGGATCGCACGACAACAGTCTGTCGCCGGCGATGAAAGGAAAGACAGCGCCGTCTTTTTTCATATCTAAAAATATTTCCACGCTATCCGCGTTGTAAAAGCGCTGCAAATGAATGTGTGTGTTAATTTTAAGTAATATTACGGCATGAAGTATTTTTATCTGATATCCAGCGACCAACATACACTTAATTACAATATGACATTGGGAAAGAGCCATCAATAGTCCCAGAAATAGCTCCTTCTTTATGACCCAGATAAAATGTGACAACAGGCTTTACAACCATGCAGATTTATCCCGAAAAGCTAAAACAGCCTTTTAAAAGCTGCCTTATCAAAATCTGTGAACATTTTTTAGTTAGATCATATTTTTCTCCTCCAGTATATACCATTATTCGATCGGTAAGCGTTAGCCTAAAGAGAGATGGACAATACTTGTTTCTTAGACTTTGCTCAGACGTTTGCTCAGAAAGAGACAAATGGGCTTACGCAACCTATTGTTGACAAAATTGGTAAAATATTTATAGTATTGTTATATTAGGAGGATTCAAGGAACAAAGTAGCATAACATAGCACATTCGCTGTCAAAGTTATTGAGATAACGCCGTGACTCATGTACTTTGTTATCAGTTCCCTCCAACCAAGGTATAAATTGAGCACGAACGTCGCTCCCCTATCAGCAATCCGCCTTTCTGCCGTGAAAACTTGGTGAACGGCTGTGTGTTGTGTCGGTGTGTTGGTTGGAGAGGATCGTGATTGAGGGACGTTGGCGATTTGGACTGTCTTAGTGAAACTGGTAAGTGCTCGTTGCCTATAGTTCGTTTCGAGGCTTACCGACTTTATTGAAATCGTACACGCTGCGAATAGCGTCGTCCAATGGTGCCGATTCCGATCCATTCGTCTCTAACCCGCCAACTGTGGCACTGGGCGTTGTAGTGAAACACAAAGTGGTCGCCAACCGACGACATAGTTTTCAGGTTGGAGGCTACACAGTGCTCCTTTTCTGAAATGTGAACTGTTAAGCTCCACATTATGGTTTTTCGGGGAATTGGCGCATTATTGTCATTGTGTTGTCCAGTGTGCTGCAAAGCTGACAATTGTGTCTTTTCCGGGCATATTTTTGACTGTGCCCGGAATGATATGATAGCATGCAAGATAAAGTAGCTCTGTTTCAATTTATCACCTCATCCCATCACCCTGCATAGCTGCACTTGTGTGTTAGTGCATGTATAATTGGAAAGGTACTGAAATTAATTTATTGAGGTTTGTATGGCAACAATGCTTTCACAATTCCTCATGTGGAACATAGTTTTGCCACTCATAGTAGGCTGTGTGTTTGAGTATGTAAGGTCCATAGGCTATTGCAAAGCATGATTTCTAATTGTATGTCAAAACTAATGGCTATCAAAGGGAGCTTGGGTGTAGTGTGCTAGCTCTGCAGATGTGCAGGCCTTGGTGGTTGTTAGTGTCATTAGCATCAGCATGCTAGGGTATGTAATGTTGAACTTGTGCTGTGTTACCGTGGTTATATGACCTCTATGGCTTTTGAATGATAAATATTAACACTGTCAGACCTTGAATAATATGAACAAAGTTCTTGCTTATTGCAAAGTTATCCAACATAACCTGGGGAGAAGTAGATAATAATTTGGAAAGTTACACAGGTTAATTGATGGAACAAGCATGTAATCAACTGCTTGATGGTTCTAAAAGCAAATTCATGTAATAATTATAAGGCGCAAGACTGTTCTTTGATAGTACTGTTGTGTATGTTATGCCTGCTGCTATAAAATTGTAAATTTTACTTAACAGTAGAACCACCAACTATATAGTAGGACATTCAGAATGCAGGTAGGTCAGTGTGCTTGTGCCTCAGAGTTTAGATAAAAAAATACCCCAAAGTTTGTATAATAGAATCACTGCCTGTAAAAATAGTACCTTGTGTAGGATGTGGTGCTGCTGGTTTTGCTTATAGTGGCTGCATGATTGCTGGGCTTGTAAAAATATCCACCAGTATTATTTAACATTGCATTTTATGAAACAGCATATACAAATTATATGGCTCATCCCTTTACAATATCTAAGCAGTTTGGACTGGGTGTTCAGCTCATAACTTGTTTGCTATACAGACTATTGGCAGTGTTTATGTTCAATTTTGACTTGTTTTTGAAGCAGTGTTGGCAGCTTTCACAGAAAATATTTTACAGTGGACTTTTGCTGTCATAAGGCCATAAAAAACATATCAGGGTGACATGGTCAGCAGTGATATATACCATGTCAATGCACACATATTGCATATACAACTGAGAATAATTATTTATCCAAGTCTTTGTGAACTGCTGGGCTTTGAATAACTTGTGATTCAGGCCATGCTTACATAGATGAGTGGTTTGTAAGGCTTGCTTCTTTGGGAAAGTTTTCATAATTTTGTATAAGTAATGCCAAAATGCCATCTAGAATGTTTGTGATATGGTGCTTGCGCTTTGATAATACTGTTTGTTAAGTGGTAATGCTGCTTGTGTGTTCTGGTGACAGCTGTCTTGTTTTCAGACTGAAATAAGCCATGGATGACAAGGCATCGCTGAAGGAGTTAGACCAGTGGATAGAGCAGCTTATGCAATGCCAGCAACTACAGGAAAATCAGGTCAAAACCCTCTGTGAAAAGGTATGTTTCTTGACTTATGTGATGTTGTTTGAACACAACAGTCATAGTGTTGCAGCAGTGACTACACAAGGCTTGATCACCATTATGTTGAAGACTGGATGGTCACTGGCTGGATCAGTATTTGCAGTGATGTATAGGTAATGGCACAGTTCCTGGACTAGCAGTGCTGGTGCACTGCCCATGTCATAAAATGTCAATCTTCATTTAGAACATGGCACCTGATACCAGCCCCAGCACCAGTCAAAGCATGCCATTTTCAAGGTAGTGCCCATTCATTCAAAAGGTACATAGATTCAACCAACAGGACCCATTCACCTGACACTCGCACTGCCACCAGTGTCAGGCTTTTCAACTGATGCACTAGCAGTGTGTTGGTTGTTGCAGTGCCCTCACCATCTGGACACTGTCTGTGTGGACCTTCCACTCTGTCTTCCATCCTGCCTGACACTCTGCCTTCCATCCCACACTCCACTTACCTTCTGCCCCCCCCCCCCCCTCCCCCCCTTCCACCCTGCCCTCTGCTCCACCTTCTATGCAACCCTTCCGCCCTCTGTCCCACCCGCAGCACCCTGCCTTCCATCCTGCCTTTCACCCCATCTTCTGTCCTGCCTTCCATCCTGGCTTCCACCCCACCTTCCACCCTGCCTTCCATCCTGCCTTCTGCCCCATCTTCCACCCTGCCTTCCATCCTGCCTTCCACCCTGTCTGTTGTCCCACCTTTTGCCAGCTGATGTCAGCCTGCTGCCCACCAGGCAAAGGAGATCTTGTCGCGCGAGTCGAACGTGCAGGAGGTGCGCTGCCCGGTGACTGTGTGCGGAGATGTGCACGGCCAGTTCCACGACCTGATGGAGCTGTTCAAGATCGGCGGCAAGTCCCCCGACACCAACTACCTGTTCATGGGTGACTACGTGGACCGGGGCTACTACTCCGTGGAGACGGTCACCCTGCTGGTCACATTGAAGGTGAGCGCCGCGGAGGGGAGGGGCGTGGGCGTCGTGTGACCAGGGCAGTCAGTTCGCCATAAGACCCAAATCATCATTAAAGGAGGAGGGAGGAAGGAGGGTGTGAGTGATCTGGGCTTACTCCTGGCAGTGGAGCTTGAGTATTGTGGAGGGCTTACAATCGAGGGCTTCGCGACACCAGCATGCTAGGAACAAATACAGATGCAAACCTTTATTAAGTTAATCTGCAATCAACTCATGGCTATTATAGCCCCTTTTGGAAAGATAGAGCATGAAGATTGTGATGACACTATCACAGGCGAGTTACCAAACACAGTCACTGTGTAACATAAAAGTCATAACCTTGTAGAATGCAGGACGATCAGCAAGCGCAGCACATCAGTCCGACACAGATGCCAAATAGGACAGACACGACATTGGTACTCCTGGTGATGGAGGTCAAGCTGCCCTGGGAGCAATTATTGGGAATGATGGAGGAGACAATGGTGTTCTGGGAATGAGCAGTGGGAGTGGTATGGGATGTTAAAATGTTCTCAGAGTGAGAAGTGGGAGTGGTAGTGCATGCAAAGGTCCTGTGGATACTCCTCGACTTTTTTCAAGGCCAGAAGACACTAGCTCACTAGGTTCTCATGGTTGTGAAGGTTAAGGTGCCGTGGGAGCACTCGCGGTCGCGGACGCGGACGCAGGGAGCTCAAGATTCAGGATGTGGGTGCTTGAGATATACCTGCCAGAACAGCTGATTGTGGCGATAGCACTTGGCAAGCTCCTTCCGCCAGCGGTGGAGGATGCTGCATCTCTAGCCCGGGTGACTCGGGTCTCCACGAGCTGTGGTGTTCGACGTTTGTCAGGTGTGGTGCGGTGTGGCACACCGTGTTCGACTGTTGGGCCAAGGAGGGCAGCGGACGTCGTGTGTAACGTGTCAAATGGGCCGACGATGGCGTAACAGCGGCCGGGACAAACCCGGCGTGCCGACTACCAGGCTGGGTCTGTGCGGTGCGCGGAACGCCCACTGACGACAGGCGTGGTAAATAAACAGTGGACCAGCGTGCTACGGCACGAGGCGTTGATGGTTGTGTTCCAGGAACGTTAGGCGCTGTTATGGGCGCAAAATGGACCACGGTAGTCGGCGCGCCCTAAAGCCCCAATCAACAACAACAGGAACGTTAGGCGAGGCTTCGCGAGCCTTCTGGAGACAAGGCTTCTTGCGGCGAGTTTTCGCTTGTTCTTTCTCTTGGGGCTGGTGGTTCGTCTGCTGGTCTAGGTGGTCAGCACTGAGCATGAAATAGCACGGGGTCCACGCTTGGTATCGGCGTTAGAAACAACAGAGTGCAGAAGATAGTATTTGGTGTCCCTCTAGTATGTGCTTCCCCCGCCCCCATCCGCCTCCATGTCTGGGGGTTCTGCCGGCGGGTGGGCCGGTTTCTACCGCCGCCGCTGCGTGACAAAAAAAAAACTGCCCAGCACGTGACCGTACTCCTCTGTCTGCCAGGTTCGCTTCAAGGAGCGGATAACGATTCTACGAGGCAACCACGAGTCTAGACAAATTACCCAGGTAAGCCAACGGCCGGGTCGTCGAACAGGTCAGCACGTTGTTGTGGTCGTGTGTGCCCTCCCCCCTACCCCGCGCGACCTTTCGTCTGCGTGGGAGTGCCGGTCGCCGCCCCCGCCGCTTCCGTCAGCGGCGCTGGTGCAGCTGTGTCCCGCCCCGTCGCCACAGGTGCTGGCCGTTTGTGAGCCTGCGAACAGAGAGGAACGCAGGGAGAGCTCGCCGAACGGCCTCGGGAGCCGACGTGGACAGAAAAAAAACTTCAGCGTAGCGTGTGGTCCGGTCCGGGCCGATGGCGTAGGGGAGGGGGGTAGAAGGGGGATCCCCGCAGTCTCCCGCGCGCTGACAGCGGTTTTCGCGGAGTGTTGCGAGTGTGGCCGACCAGTCTCAAAGTGTAGCCGCAGCGCACCAGAAATACACTCTACGTGACGTCGCGTAGAATCTGTGCCGGACGTGTTCGCAGTGCGACCCGTTTCCTGTTGACATCGTCGTAACGGCGGCAACAGTAATTGCGCTTAGAAAGAAGCGAGTAGTTTCGCTTGCAGGTAACACACGTATGTCTCACAGTGGTAACTGCAAATCGTGCTGTTTGTAACTTATAAGGCACCTTTTTATCACGCATGGGCGGGCCGGAGCACGTAAGCCAACTTCTTTACAGCTGAATCTGTCGCACAATTGCTGTCTCTCTTTGACCACGTCGTAGAAATAGATTCTGCGCGTCCGGCAGGGATGCTACGTGGTGTCACGTGTGCATTTTGTCGTCCGTGTCGCTCCCGAGCCTCGATTTGGGATGGGCTCGGGGCCGCCGCCGCTGCTGCCGCCGTCGACAGCCAACTGCCTCACGCGACGCGATCTCGGTGGATGCTTGGCGTTGACTCTGAGTCCACCTTCTGGCTATTTCTCGCTCCGTCCCGGTCCCCGTCTGGTAACTGGAGTGACGTCAGGCCGCGGTCCATCACGTGCCGGAGACGGCAGACGTTTAACATATGGCACTGGCACGGGAGGAAGAGACTATAAAGAGCCCACCGGACCCATCAGCTGCCGGTAGTGACGTCACTCGTGACCGCGGGGCCTCGGGAACCTGGGCTTGCGTGCTGGCACCTCCAATACGTATGTCGGCATACAATCAGTTCTGGGGTATTCACGGGCGCAAACGGCGTGTTCAGGTGGCGCCATGAGGTGCTTCTCCGACGATATGCTCAATGGTTCATGGGGGTTGAGACACATTCCATGTTATATCTGTGATGGCTTGTTGGTAGTCTTGGGTGTGCATGACGTAATCTTAAACAATCCTGATAGCAAAGTTAAGCCCGGACTCTGGCGGAAGTTCGTGCTAAAACCATGACAATAGAAACACCAGGTGAAAGCCGAGCCGAGGCTACAACCCACACTATCACATGACCTTGGCCAGCTGACATTTTATCCGATAACCACTTCGGGGAATGGCTAATCTACAAAAAATCGTGTTTATCTCGCAATGTTAAAACTACCAGAATTCGTGTGTACATAATAAAAGCATGATGAACTGGGTAGGAAAATTGTATTTAACTGTGGCACGCCTGTCAGCTGACGTCTTGTTTACATTTGCTGTTCCTGGCTTGTTTTTATGCGGGCTGATGGCGTCGTCGTCACGTGTTTTGCTACGATAGCGACCTTTCCACGTGATGTGATGTGCGCCCCGAGTTAGCACGGCGTAGCTCCGTAAAAGCAGGGCGGGTCGAACGAGTCCGAATGCATTATGTGTCCTGCCAGGCCATAAGTGCACGTACGGGCGGAGAGTTTTGTGCATTAATGGAGAGCGCGTGTCACCCTGCGTTACGGTTTATTACGCCGTCGTCGGAGACACGCGCGAGTATAACATTTCTGAAGACAGCTCTGATCGTACGACGCGCCTGTCGATTTGGGATCAAACGAATGTGACGAAGTGCTTAGGTCGTGCGGCAAGTGTTTAGTCTCGCGGAGACGGAACGAGCCCAGACAGTGAAGGTACCCGTAAAATGTCGCCGTTCCGTGGTAAGCAGTGGCTTGCCGTAAAGGTCACATTATGTTGACCTGCCACGTCCGTGACCTTCGTCACGAGGCGATGCTACACTGACGCGGTCTCGGTATGAGCCCCGCTGAAACTAAGGTATGACTTCCTCGGTGTGCAGGTGACACTTGAGACCCGCGTGGCATTGATCCACGGTAGCGTCTGACCTTGACCTGAGATTCCTCTGACCTTCGTCACCTGCAGTGCCGCGACCTGGCATGGCTTGTACGAAAGCCGAACCATTGACGTTGACCTGAGATGTCTGACCTCTGACTTGAGGTCAGATCAGGATTACAACCTTCACATGACCTTGACTGCATGACTATGCATTGCGACCTCTGCTGGGGCCTGTCCCGCAGTGACTGCGACTCGACGTGACCGCGTTTATTATCACCGTCTGATTGTGATCCGCAGTGACCGCCGCCTGACCCATCCCGTGACCTTGACACAACCCTTGCCAACAGGTGTACGGCTTCTACGACGAGTGCCTGCGCAAGTACGGCAACGCCAACGTCTGGAAGTACTTCACGGACCTGTTCGACTACCTGCCGCTGACTGCGCTGGTCGACAGTCAGATCTTCTGCCTCCACGGCGGTCTCAGCCCGAGCATCGACTCGCTCGACCACATCCGTGCCCTCGACCGGCTACAGGAGGTGCCGCACGAGGTGAGTCACGTGACGCGGCCGGCGGCGGCGGCGCCGGTCACGTGATGTCAGCACTCGGCGGCGACGTTTGGGGAGCGCGGGGATGGGCGGTATGTTGTCCCTTGGGGAGCGCGGGGATGGGCGGTATGTTGTCCTGTCGCGCGAGACGGCAGCGTGATGTGTATAGGTTCCTGGTTCAGTTGGGCCGCAGATTGGTGTTAACGGCGCGACCCACGGGTGTCTTATGAAGATCCTAAAAGACTCGTAACACAAAGAATCCCATCGATGTGGTGACGTGTCGTCCACACCGCGGAGCAAGGTCGCCAGCAGTCACGTGCTTGCACACGGGACTGTTTCGAAGCTGACGCCGCGTGGGAACATCAAGCATAGGCGGGCACGTGGCTGCGTGGTGTTCTCAGCGGTGCGATTGGGGGCGGGGGGGGGGGGCGTCTCCTCATAATGGTACCACACACTATCGGCACAGTAAACCGCGCGTAGAACTGAGTTAGAACACGTCGTTTTTGGCGTGGTGACGACATTTAATAGGGTGGCAGTGTTCAACCAATGGATCTTGTCTGGCTCATCGAATTGGACCATTTGAACCAACCGACAATTGTTTGGTCTACGTGAAGACGGTGCGTGGATGGTGGACGGGCTGGCACTGCACGCGTTGTCCTCCTCCCCCCCCCCCCCCCCTCCGCACTTGGCACGTGCCGCGTCGCTGTTCTGTGCGTGGAGCTCGAGCCGGCGTCGTGTCGGCGTCTACGTTCGGCTTGTTCTCCCCTAGCCGAAGCTACGCCGGTATGAACAGCGTGTGTTGTCCGACAGCAGGGCTGCACCACATTGTGGTGGCATGGTAGCGTTCAGTACGGGAATACCAGGCCGGATAGGAGAGAAGAGATAGATATGACACGTTTCCTGTATTCTTGGATGCCGCCTGCCCGGGTAGCAGGCAAGGATACATGTGCATATTTGTATTCTTCACGCACTCGTGTGCAAGAATGTACGTGTACCAAATAGTACAAGGTATGTGTTCTGTTCTGCGGCCCGGGTATTGTATGGCGATATGTGCAGCGGTGACGATGGCTCAAATCGCCAAACCCTCTGCGTCAGTTGTAACACTTCAATGAGGGTCGCACGGCCGTGGCTTAGCGTCTCGGCCGCAGTCAAAGCCGGAGCCGATCCTGCATCGCCGCATGACGTCACTCGCACAACTGGTTCTCGTCTCGGTGGGTTTTCCGCCAAGCGGCACGTGGTATTGGATGGCCTTGCCGGTAGCGGCAGGGGGAAGGGGGGGGGGGGAGGATTTGCACCTAGCTGTGTCCTGTCTGGCGCATTACTGGGGCCTGCCCCTACCCTGCTGTTACGGAAATTGATGATGAAATCGTGGTGGTGAACGGCAAACGCTTGCTGACTAAGGCGCCGAGTTCGTGGCTGCAGGAAATGTGTTCCAAATCGGCCTCTGCCGGAATAGAGGTTAATTTTGTTCTCGCATTTGGCCAGTCAGGATTCTCCAAGAGCTGCATTCGGGCTTGTGAGAGATCACTGGCGCCAATGTCGGCGAACATTTTTGGGGTAAGGAAAACAGATGTACCGGCATAAAAGCTGAGACTGGAAGTATAGCTTCTTGGGATTATATTATTGGAAGTGAATGTGATCGTTTCATTTTGTCAAGTTGAATAATACAATGATCTAAGGGGGTTCCAACAAAATAAAGCAGGTGTTGCACGTATCGCGGAATTACGCTGCAGTAGTCGCATCGCCGTTTCGTAGCCGCTTTGCTCTTCGATGTATCTCACTGGAGAAAAGTACTCTTATGTTATGATTACTGGCTGCTAGCCAAGGACAGATATACGTTTTCGATGGAGTGTTCCCTATCTGTGTGAGGTTTTGAATTGAAAAGGCCGTATTGAAGATCATTTGGTGCAGTTCACAGCTCTGCCCATTTTAAGGCCTAAACCCTTGAGGTTTCTGAGCTACGCGCCCGCGAAGATGTGCAGACTATTAACGGGAGACCATGTCAAGGTCACTCAGGCCTTTGCGGCGCCATGATAGTGTCAATTAAATCCTGCCACTCTGTTGACCATTCGGCGATCAAGGCCAATAAAAATGTAATTGTCGAGTCGTTCATATCTGGCGTTCGTGACAACAACTTCCAGATATAACCGCCGTCATCGTCATTTGGCTCTCAATCAGTGCTGTGCAAGGTATGATGACGTAATCAAACAATGACCCATTTTAGGAGTACATTTACTGAACAAAGAAATTGTGTTGTCTAGGGCAGCCTTTTCCTAAAAGTATACCAGTAGTTAAAAGTGAGCCTATTTCATCATGTCTGATATTTGCTTCATTGTCTTCAAATATGGAACATTCCCTGTAAGGGGCATTAAAATTGATTAGGCGCGAACAGTTCATTGTTTCCGGTTTGCTCCTGGCGTTTGTCGACTGTGTGGATGACGTTTGGCATCTCCTGCCCATGTATTTCTCGTGGACAGAGGGTGTGAGTGCTGTCTCGCGCGTTTGAAGCCGCCCAAGGGTTTTCTCCGAAGAAACTGTTTCCCCTACGAACGGCTTTGGACCGGATTGTGACGAGTAATGCCGCTGTAGGTATGTTGGAGACTTGTCCGCGGTTATCCCTCGCCGGGAAGATCTATGAGCCGAGTTCGCAGGGGGATGTTTTCGCCACGGCTGGTGTCACAAAGCTCCCATTTGTGTGGGGAACATCGGCGACAGTGCAAAAAGCCCTCGAGCATAAAGCGCAAGAAGTACACATGCAAAAAGTGCAAGAAACCTCATCGCAAGAAGCAGCAAAAAGCTATGGTGAAGGCAAACCATCACGGTGATGGTCCCAGCTGGTGCAGCAGCCGCCCTCGCCAATGAAAAGCGGTGCTGCCTGTGCCGCCACTGCTGCAACGCATAACAGCGGGACGGGCTACCGGTTACGCTGCCGGTGACCAGTCATCTCGTCAACCCCTGCCCGTCGCGTCGCGCGCGCGCCCGTACCCGCTGGTTTTGGTCGCAGGTGCCCGGGCGTCACACGCGTGACCCCAATCTCGGGCGTGTTTAAAACCGGTACATCGCGGGTGGCCCCCTCCCCCTCCCCCCCCCCCCCCCCCACTCGACGAGTCAATACGGCCGGCCGGACCCGGCCTGGTGGAGGTGGGGGTGGGGCAGGGGTGCACTCGGCGTCGGCCGGTTCCGGCCAAAGTCCGGTCCTTGACTCGCGTCGCGGCGTGCTGACCGTTGCAACAGGTGGGACCCGCGAATCAGCAACAGCGGGCGCCTCGTTCGCGGGCTCCCCTCCGTTGCTCAGTTATTGAGCTTTAATGGCGCGTCAGCTGCATTGGCTATTTGCGCGTAGAGATCCCCTCCCCCGTCCCGGCCGTTGGGAAGAGCACCCCACCTCACTTGCATCTTAGTACAAAAAACACCGGTGTGACGTCACGCCGCAAGCTCGACGACCGGACGGGAGGGCCGCGGTGTTCGTCATCAGGCGCCGGGGCCAGACCGCCGCCGCGGCAGTGTGGCGTGGCGGCGCGCACCGAACCGGTCTGCCGCCGCCGCCAGCCCCGGGCGGGCCGGGGTCACCGAGGACGGAGTCGGCACCGAAGGGGTTCACCGCGCCCGGCTGCGGTGGGCGCGCGTGCGGGGTGACCAATCAGAGGCGAGCGATCGGCGGCGGTTGGAGTTCAGCGCTGGGCTGTTGCAACTGGCGTCCGTTGAAATGTTTGCGGCGGTGACAAAGGCCTGCGCGGGGCGCATTGTGGTGACGTCACCGTTTGACGTCGCCACGACGCGCCGCGCCGATTGGTGCGTCGTGGAGCGTGACGTAGGCTGCGATTTCGACACGCTGAGGTCCCGTCGCGCTGGTGCCTTCCTTGCGTGAACTTGCATCGGCCTGACGCATCGCTCGTGGCCGAGCACGAGGATCAGTCACCCCGAGCGGACCGACCCCGTCCACGCCGGCTCACGTAGCATCTGGGGGTGGAGATCGGCAACACGGGCCGCGCCCCAGCGACCAGCCGCCAGTGTCCGGTCGACCTTGGCTCACTGTTGACGGCGGGAGCCGGACCGCGGCGGCCAGGGACCGGCTGCGACCGGTGGCGGCGTGGGAGCCGGCAGAGATAGTGATCGCGCCGCGGCGTCCGTGAATCATGGCGATCACGAGTGCTGGGGGACGCCGAGACACGTCATGGGCGCGAGATAGGCGGACGTGATTCTCTCTCTCTCTCTCTCTCTCTCTCTCTCTCTCTCTCTCTCTATCCTCTCTCTCTCTCTCTATCTCTCCTCTCTCTCTCTCTCTCTCTCTCTCTCTCTCTCTCTCTCTCTCTCTCTCTCTCTCTCTCTCTCTCTCTCTCTCTCTCTCCTCTCTCTCTCTCTCTCTCTCTCTCTCTCTCTCTCTCTCTCTCTCTCTCTCTCTATCTCTCTCTCTCTCTCTCTCTCTCTCTCTCTCTCTCTCTCTCTCTCTCTCTCTCCTCTCTCTCTCTCTATCTCTCTCTCTCTCTCTCGTCTCTGTCTCTGTCTCGTCTCTGTCTCTGTCTCTGTCCTCTGTCTCTGTCTCTGTCTCTTGTCTCTGGCTCTGTCTCTGTCTCTGTCTCTGTCTCTGTCTCTGTCTCTGTCTATGTCTCTGTCTCTGTCTCGGTCTTGTCTCTGTCTCTGTCTCTGTCTCTGTCTCTCTCGTCTCTGTCTCTGTCTCTGTCTCTGTCTATGTTGTCTCTGTCTGTCTCTGTCTCTGTCTCTGTCTCTGCTCTGTCTCTGTCTCTGTCTCGTCTCTGTTCTGTCTCTGTCTCTGTCTCTGTCTCTGTCTCTGTCTCGTCTCTGTCTCTGTCTCTGTCTCTGTCTTGTCTCTGTCTCTGTCTCTGTCTCTGTCTCTGTCTCTGTCTCTGTCTCTGTCTCTGTCTCTGTCTCTGTCTCTGTCTCTCTCTCTATCTTCTCTCTCTCTCTCTCTCTCTTCTCTCTCTCGCTCTCTCGCTCTCTCTCTCTCTCTCTCTCTCTCTCTCTCTCTCTCTCTCTCTCTCTCTCTGGCCCAGTGACGTCACGCCATCGCCCCGTGACGTCACTGGTGATGCGCGGCCGCTGTGCGCCCCGTCGGGCGATGCCGGACAGGGTGGCCAGGAGGAGAGCAGCTGCAGGTGGAGACGCCGAGCGCGGTCCGGTACGACGACGGTCCCCTGCCTGTCTGCCGCTGGCGAGAGACAGGACGATCGGGCTTCAGATGGCCACTGCGGCTGCGGCAGACGTCCGAAAACACCAGTAAACAACGGCGGTCGGGCTGGCTGACTGCGAGGCTTACCTGCCAGCGCGCCGATCGATCTGCGGCCGTTGCGGCCGGCCCGGCTAATCACCGGGTCGGGGCGCGGCGGCCGTACGCCCGGCTGCACGGCGGCCGTATGCCCGGCTGCACGGCCGGCATTGATCGCCCGCTGCCGGCTGCTGCCCGCCGTGCGGGCGCCGGAGGGGGGCGCCTGCCGGCCGTGGACAGGCGGCGACGCCGCTGGCGGGGCAGGCGGTGCCGCGGGCCGCGGATTGCGGATGAATCACACCCACGGGGTCCGGACTGGGGTGCCAGGGGTCAGCGGGGGGTGCGTTCCAGTGCTGCAGCCGTACAGCCGCGTCACTGCGCTGGTGTCGGCGCACGGTCGAGCTGCCGGTGCCGCTGGACAGGGGCCTCGTATCGCCCGGGACCTCGGGGCACTCCCCCGCCCGGCACTGACGGGTTCGCCGTGAGAGGCGGGCCGTGGCAGGCGCCGCCGACCGGGCCCGGCTTTGTGGTCGAGGCCACATCCCCGCTCCCGCTCCTCCCCGCCCGGCCTCTTCCTCGGACCGGTGACGGCTCCGTCCCGCCGCGAGCCAGCTGATTGCGGCAGTGCTGCCGGCCCAGCTGACCGGCCGCCGCCGTCGCGGCCGTGCGAGCGGGCGCTGGAAGGCCGCCCGCCTCCGATCCGCCTCGCCCGCCCCTGCACGGCCCGTACGTGGATCAGGGGCCGCCGGGCGGCCGGGCCCGGCTCATAGGAGGGCGCGTGCTGTTTTTGTCGGGCGCTGCGGGCGGTCGTGCTGACGGCAGACCGGCGTGTACGGCCTCAGAGGCAACGGCCGTGTGGTGGGCTCGGCCCGCTCGCGTAGCGCGCCGGCAGTTGGCGGGCTTCCGCTGGCGATGGTCGCCGAGCTCTTTCTCGATCGCGCATCTCTTTTTCTCGGTCGTATATCGAGTCGACGCGCTTCGTGTCGCGCGCATCCCACGTTTCTGCTTCGTCAAAACATGCTCGTCCAACACATGTTTGAATCCGAGTCCTGAGTCTGAGTCACGGATCCCGTGACGTCACGGCGGCGGCTCGGCTGGCGGCCGGGCCCACCTCCGGGCCGCCGCGCCTCTCGGACCTCCAACTTCAGGGCCGTCTCCGCCGGGGCGCTGCGGACGCGGTCTGCGGTCTGCGGCCGGCCACCGGAAGTGGGTGACTTCCGCCCACGCGCGGTCGCCGTGCGTGGCTGGTGTGTCCGGCGCTGGCTGGTGCCTGACGTTAGGTGTTGGCGGGGGCGGGCGACGACGGCTGCTTGGGACGGTCGCGGCAGGTGTGGCAGCCATCTGTCGTTCGTGCTGTCGAACCGAATTACGTTTCTGTTTGCAACGCGTTCATTTTGTTTAAGAACGGTTATCTTGGCCAACCCGTTTGAGTGACATGGCTAGCTGATGGCTGCGACATTCAGCTCCGAAGCCAGGGTGTCATTCATTTGTATAAATGGACGAATAAGTCTCTGTCGCCGCCTGCTGTCATCCCACCATTCCATCATCCATTGCAGCCGTCCTCTGTCGCCACGTCATGCTCGACCTCCTCTGTTCCTCCACCAGCATGGCATCGCGCGTGACTGAGGTCGCCGCAAGGCCGTCCTGACTGGCCCGATCGCGGCGCCGCCGAGGCGTATCACCCGCCGAGCAGCGTTGTCAGGTGCCGCGCACTGCGTTATCGGGCACGGCCTGGCCGTGGGGTCCCGACAAGGACGTCCGGGCTTATCTCGGGCGGCGCTGATTGGTGGAGACGACATTGACGGCAAAAGTCATGGTCAGGTGGAAAGCGACCGTCGCTTAAAGGGCGGCCGCCACCTTTAAAAGAAAAATTGATGCGATTTTTGTATAGATAGAAAGGGTGATCCAGGTTTTCGCACACTAATGTGGTGGCTAGTAGTCTTACATTGGAATCTAGCTGGATCGCTCTGTTTAGGACGACAAACTTCAGAGATCCGCTATCGCGTGTGTTGATTTAGTGATTGATTTGCTAATTTCACGGCGTGGTGCACTTAATGGCATCTTGATCTGAAGCCACGTCTTCGGAGCGTATGCGATGGCCTGGTAACTGGCGTTGACCGGACTCAAACATGGTCATGACCTTGGCCGTTATCACGCGCCTGCAGGCGTCTGATGTGGGCACGAGTTTGAACCTTTTTTAACATACTCTTCCCGTGTTGCTACCGGCCGTATGTCCGCTCTTCTGGAGTGCCCACAGACAGCTCGCGTTTAGTCGCACCGAATCGTCACCACTTCCCGACTGGTGGGCGGCTCTCTGACGGCACCACTCAACAGGGTGACCCGGCCCGTGCCGCTTCATGTGGCCGCGCCGCCTTTTTACAGCAGTGCGTTGTGCGCCAGACGGGTTTTTGTTGGGAGCACTCGCTTGCGTGACCTGTACTGTGACGGCGTCGTGTCACGAACAGCGCGCCATCTGCGGCTCGCTGATGACCCCGTTTTCTGTTGCATCACTTTTCTCTGACCCAACCTAATCTAATCTAACCGAACCGAACCGAACCGAACCGAACCGAACCGAACCGAACCGAACCGAACCGAACCGAACCCGGTTCTCCCGTGTAAGCCTGGCCACTGAGCACCCCGTGCACGACCGAGGCCAGAACTGTTACCTGCTGCTGCGGGTGGACCGCTTGCCACAGCGTGACACTGTGTACTTTGCGGTGTGGAAAGCGGTCCCCTGCCGTCCCTCCGCCGTCCTCCAGTACTCCCAGTCGTCCCCCCCCCCCCCAACCATCCCCCAGCCCTTCCATGTAACCTCTGTGACCTCTGGCGCTGACGACGTCGCCCGGTGTCCTGCAGGGCCCTATGTGTGACCTGCTGTGGTCAGACCCGGACGACAGGGGCGGCTGGGGCATCTCGCCGCGCGGTGCCGGCTACACCTTCGGCCAAGACATCTCGGAGACGTTCAACCACAGCAACGGCCTGACGCTCGTGTCGCGCGCCCACCAGCTGGTGATGGAGGGCTACAACTGGTGAGAGGCGCTCGTCGGGGACGGAGCGCGCCGGCGGGAACGGAGCGCGCCTGGGCGGGGCGTAGCGGGGGCGGGACCGGGGTCGGGGGCAGGGCGGTGCGGGTGCTTGAGACAGCGGGGGTTGAGGCATCACCGCAGGGGTCGTCCGATCCGGCTGTATTTTCTGGCACGTTTTCCACTGCCTGGCGGGCACGGGGTACGCAAATCTAGCGGCGCAGAGTAAGCCGACGTCACAGGTGTCCGTGTAAAGACAGCCAGCCCCTCGTCAGGGGGACCGTTGCGTGTTGGGTTTGGAACGCGGGCACGTGGCTTTTGGTCGTGTCTGGGCATGTGGCGCTGCTATTTTACGCTGGCGACCTGAGGTGTACGATACTGTGGCCATGCGACTGTTGTGCGGCCGCTGCCTACTATCTCCGGTGGTTTGGTGTGGGAATGGTGGTGCGGCTCCTCCACTGTAAAGGATGGCGTTGTTTGGGATGAGATGTGAGCGCTTCGACCACCTAGTGACTTTTGGCCTCGGCCGAGTGCTGCGTTTTAGCGCGATGTGGCGGTTGGATTCGGAATGTAGCCAGCTAGATGCGTTCCGTTGTTCTAGTTTTATCTCCTGCGTCGTCATTGGTGAGCTCGTTACCTCGCAGCGACCTCATCACCCCCACCGCATCTCGCCGAGGCAGCTCGTGTCGAGCGGACCGCCCCCCCCCCCCCGCCTTCATGCCCCGCTCGTGACCCGGACGCGTGACCTCTGGCCTGACCCCTGACCTCGGCACTATCCGCAGGTGTCACGACAGAAACGTGGTGACGATATTCTCGGCGCCCAACTACTGCTACCGCTGCGGCAACCAGGCGGCCATCATGGAACTCGACGACGCCCTCAAATACTCATTGTGAGTGGACCGGTTGCCAGCGGCTGGACGCCTGTCGCCTGTCGTGTGTCAGAGACTGGACGGCCAGCCGGGCCTTGTGATGTTGTACGCCGGGCGGCGCTGCTGCCGTGGGCGGGACGCGTGCCGCGTGTCAGGGGCCGGGCGGAAGGCCCAGCCGGTCGGTGGCGGGGCGCGGGGGTGACACTTGCGGGCTGGCGGCGGCGGCGGGAAAGCCGGGGCGTGTCGTGGAAGGGCTTCCCGGCGGCGTGGTCTGGCGCGTCTATCGCGTACGCCTCCCCGGGTGTGTCAGGGGAGACGTCGGTGCAGCCTGGAGCGGAACGGCACCGGTGTGTGTCGTGTTGTGTTGTGTTGTGTTTGTGTTGTGTTGTGTTGTGTTCCTCCGGGACGGGTGGTTCCGTGCCGTGTCAGACGCACCATGGCCATGGTTTGCAGCAGACCATGGCTTCATGGGCGGCCCCGTTCGCACGGACCAGCTGCTGCCATTGTAATGTGCACGTGGTTGCATTGTTGTTGGAAAGTGTACGCATGCTGCGGGAAGCATAGAATGTTGTACATGCTCCGCTCGCGGTGACGTCATGAACGCAAAATGGCCTCCGGCGTCGGTGCACCCTAAAACTCAATTCATCATGGCATAGTCGCATCGCATTTTTTGGGCTAAAACACAGCATTGAGTATTTGTTGAACAGAAATGTTAATGCATTCGGAGACATTTGATTGCCATGATGTGGTATTTATCCCATGCATTTTCATCCACTTGCTACTTGCAATGCTACCTCAATCATGTCGCATTCATCACATCATTTCTGCTCGAATCGTTCACGTCTTGCGCAGTCCAGCGTATGTTAACTGGGGCTCGCTCGCGGAGAGCCGGTCGGTCCGGTGTCGCCCCGTGCGTGACCTGACGCGCGTGCCGTCCTGTTGCAGCCTCCAGTTCGACCCGGCACCGCGGCGCGGGGAGCCGCACGTAACACGGCGCACGCCCGACTACTTCCTGTAGGGCGGCGGCGGCGGCGACGGAGGAGGAAGGAGGAGGGCGGCGGCGGGCGCACCGCGCGCCGAGGAGGGCGAGAGTGGACGCGGAGTGGGTGCGGAGTGCGGTGGAGTGGCGGGCGCCGTGTCGAGAGGCGGCGGCGGTCGCCGTAGGGGGTGACCGCTGGCCAAGGTCAGCGGAGTGCTTGACCTCTGGTTGAGAGGCAGTGGAGGTCGGTGGAGTGATGACCTCGGGCCGAGAGGCAGTGGAGGTCGGTGGAGTGATGACCTCGGGTCGAGAGGCAGTGGAGGTCGGTGGAGTGATGACCTCGGGTCGAAAGGCAGTGGAGGTCGGTGGAGTGATGACCTCAGGTCGAGTGCCGAGGAGGTCGTTCCTCGAGGACTGGACTGGAATGACTGACTGGAGAGTGGGTGACCGCGGACGGGGATGTGACTGCGTCAGCGCGCAGTGACGGGCTTCAGGTTGCGTAACAGCGGAGGTCGGTGCGGTGTTTGACCTCAGGTCAAGAGGCGGCTGCACTTGGTTGGCTCTGGCTGGGGGCACCGCGGCGCATCCACACTAATCCTGGAACAAAACCATTCTGAACAACACCAGCAGTGTAAAGCGTCGAGTTTTAGCTCCGCCGACCGGGTGCAACTGACGTCGCCAACGCTGCAGGCGGTTGACTCGCGTCCCGCCACGACGAAATGTCTCCGCCCGTGCCGAGGATGTCGAGGGCTCCGCTGGTTCGGGCGACCCCGTCGCTGTGCCGTCGGGTCCGCGCCGTCGGCAGGCGGCACCAGACAACTGTTACATGTCCGTGTGCGTGAGGCGCGCGACCTTCTCCCACTGTATGTCCCCTTGTCGCTCGGTTCTCTGCGTTAGCCACATCCGCACGGGCACATGTTAGACGGTAACCCAGAGAGGTGTCCCAAGCACGTGCTATTCTCCTGTCTGGGTATACATTCTGTTGAAAATACTAATAAATTGTCGTGCTAAGCGTGTGTGTTTATGAAGTTCTTGAGCGAGTCCGCTGTTCCAGCGATGGGTTAGAGGTTCTGGAACACTACAGCCTGCCATGTTTTGACAGCCAAGTAGCGTGGCTGGCGTTTCTGCAAGAACGGCAACCAGACTTTTGAGATAGTGCGAGTTATCGGGGGATCTGTCTTAAGTAGCGAATTGCCGTTTACTGGTGAGAACTGGCGGTTGGTTGCTGTCACTGCCCGAAAGAAAAATATGAAGACAAACCTTGTGATTTTGGATGACCAAATTTGTCACCCTGGACATGCTTAGTTTGCTAGTATTGTGGTCTTCTAGACTCAGCACGTTGCCCCGGCCGCGGAAGTCGAAGCTTGGTATGCCAGCCAGCATAACATGACCGAGTGGCTGCCTGGAAAACTCATGGCGATCTAGCATAACCTTCCGCAGACGGCCTTCTTGAATGTTCATTTCCGTTTCACTTCTGTCGTGCCACATTTGGTGACGTCAATGAATGCGACCAGCGAGGCGCATAATCATACTGCGCATGCGCAGTTGCCATGGGCGGTTGGTGGTCGCAGGTCGTGCAACGGGCACATGTAAACACGGACCATTTTCAAATAATAATACACTGAGGTGAGGTGTGACAGTTCCCTAGTGGGCTAGCGGTCTACCGTATGCAATCTCTCTGTGAGCTGATTGGGTTACGTCCCCGGCTTCCGCCCTGTCCGCCAGCCGCATGCGTCACTCCGGCAGCATAGTCACGGCCCATGTACGAGAAAGTGACCATTCAGTGATTGTTTAGGTGGGAAGGTCAGTCTGACCGAAACGGGCCAGAACGCAGTAGCGTATGAACTGGCCTCTGGTGCACATTCATCACTGTGCTGTTCCAGTTAGTCTGCGCTTGCTTGTTTGCATGTTTGCAAGGTGTGGATTGAGATGTTTGTGAGCATTCCCAGTTTGATGAGTGGTTAGGTGGCAGATGAGATATTTGCATTCGACACAATGAAACTGGTATAATTGTGAAATGCCCACTTGGGTATGTGTTGACTTGGCATAACTGATAGGATGCTAATAACAGCTATAAAGTGGTGATTTCATTTGTGTCTTCCCAGCAATTTCATCATGTTTTGCACATGGGGTTGGGTGGGGAACAAGAACAGTATGTATGGACAGGGGCTTGTGGCTTGGATCATTGAAGAGTTTAGAAGAGTGGTTTGGTACTGATTTGGTATTAGGTGAAACATCAAGCATGGTCATAGAAAATGAGACATTACAAATGAAATGTTTGGAATCAACTGAACTGTTTAAGCCTAAAACCTTTTTAAAAGATTATTCTGGTAAATGAAGGGACAGGGGAGTTTTGTGTGTGGTTGACTGATTGATGTGTGTGGCCCTGATGCATGTTTAGGTGGGGTTCTGATTCTGTTACTGGTGTCCAAGGTTTCATGATCTGAGGTTCTCATATTATGGATTGACCCCTGGATTCCTTGATTTAGGTTTTACAGCTGTAAGGCATGTAGGTTTTTGAGATACCCAAATAGGTTTCATAGATATTCCCTTTGTTTTGATAGACTTCTTAATGGCAGACATCAGGCATTCATGCTTTTGGTAGAGTGATATAAGTGTTTTAAATATGTGATGGCTCTTTGAAGTTTTAGTTCATCAATGTCTGAGGTACTGCCATGCATGATGTATTATATTTTATGATAGCAGGTATCTCCTGACCTCATGTGTTGGTTTCAGGTTAGGGAAGGGTACAAGTGAAGGTCATCAAGCAATTTCAGTTCTTAGACATGAGCTTCTTTTTGTAAGTACATCACTATTGGAGATATTGTGCTGTATACCATCACACACTGACTGTACATTAGTGTACCCATAAGTAACTGAGATCAGTGTTGCTGTTTGTATGGCAAGACATGGTGAGATACTACAATTAACCTCCTAGACCTCTACCATGTAACAGCCATCCTCCTTGTCCCCAGTGGAGGTCGCTCCAACAAGACATTCAAGCCAAAAAAGAACATCCCTGAGGGCACCCACCAGCATGATCTGATGAAGCATGCGGCCGCCACCCTGGGCTCGGGGAACCTGCAGCTGGCTGTACAGCTGCCTGAGGGCGAGGATCTCAATGAATGGGTGGCAGTCAATAGTGAGTGTATTCAGCACGAAAACTGTGGGCATCAGTGGTTGATGATGAGTTTATCCAGAGTCATTTCTGAGGCACTACAGCATGCCAAATCACCTTGGATTTACAAAATCTCTGGATAACTCAGATTGCTGAAGCTCTAAAGTAGGTAGCCAGAGCCTTAGGAGTTGTGTGTGTATTGTGGTGTTACTTTATATGGTTTTGGGTGACTTGTCTAGATGAACTGTGGGAGAGACCAGGCTCCTCCCAACAGCTTCAGCTTTCACAAAAATCATATCCTGTTGCCCAGATTTATGCAAATGATAGCCTCAAAAGTCTGGGGTTCTGTTGGAGCTCCAGTCCAGCACAATGATGTTTTGGAAGGTGCCTTTCATATCTGCCCAGAGTTCCACATGAGTTGTAATCATTTTTCAGCTGTGGACTTCTTCAACCAGATCAACATGCTGTATGGAACCATCACAGAGTTTTGCACTGAACATTCTTGCCCAGTCATGTCTGCAGGTATGAAAGGAGTTTTTGATTCAGCTCAAATTAGTCTAATTTTGGTTTCATTTTTGCAATCTTGTGAGTAAAACAAAATCAGCAATACTTACTTCTGCATCTTTAAGGGAGGCATTTTGTTGTTTGCTCCTCTTTTGGGCCCTGGTGTGTCCAGACCATGTGTAGAAGTCAATAAGTTTCATGAATAGTACTTATATTATTCATCCCTGTGGTGGCATTGAGAATTACATTGCACTTTCTCACTCCTGACCTTCAATTTGTGTTGAGGTTTTAAAGCACTAGAACCACATTCCATACCCCAGCAGTGATGCCACTGTACCATACAGTGTGCTATCACTTGGTCATAACTGCACAGACTACTATGTCAGGACCACCACTTGGCAATGTCTCTACATGCTGCCTTGGTTTGACAGGCCCCAAGTATGAGTACCACTGGGCAGATGGGCAGACAGTGAAGAAACCCATTAAGTGCTCAGCGCCCAAGTACATTGACTACCTGATGACCTGGACTCAAGACCAGCTGGATGATGAGTCTACCTTCCCCAGCACCATTGGTGAGACAGGGCTGCCAGGCGTGGCGCCCTTCATGATGATGTCCCGCTCTTGAACGCCACAGGGGGTCAGGTGACTGCGGTGGCATCAAACAGCCTTGTCACAGGGAATGTGTGCACTTGCACCCATCTACCCGACTGTGCTGTTTTTGATCACGCTATTACGTGTGGATGTGTAGGGCCCACCATTTTTTCAGGTTTGTAGTGATCACATCTCAAGCCTGCAGCGTCTTAGATCAGTAACGTAACCGCACCACAGTGATGAGCAGGGTTAATACAATTTCGCGCAGCGAGAACTTAACATCTGCCGTCCCTCCAGAGATAATCGTCCCGACCGCATGGGCTCAAAATGGACACCCAGCTACCACTTCCTCTGCATCACGCTCTTCCCAATGTTCTTCAAATCTTCACCACCGGCGCCATTCGGTGCTGCTTCTGGCACGCTGTCGTTTTTGCAGGCGTGCCCTTCCCCAAGAACTTCTCGCAACTGGCGAAGAATATCCTGAAGCGGCTGTTCCGCGTTTACGCCCACATCTATCACCAGCACTTCCACGAGGTGGTGAAGCTGCGCGAGGAGGCTCATCTCAACACCAGCTTCAAGCACTTCATCTTCTTCGTGCAGGTGGGCGTGAGAGGTCTACCCGAAGATGCCCCTCACTCTATGAGCGGGATATGATGCATTAGGAAATGACGCCACTGCTTCAGTGGCATATCACAATCGGTTTGGTGTTGTAGCCGTGAGTGAAACTAAATGGATGGCAGGTGAGGCAGTAGGAAGCCGTAGGCCGCCAGGAAGTGCTGTTCAATCATGATGGTCACGGCATGGGTGGGTAGTGCAGTCTGTCGTAGCCATGGTGATTGTCACAACACAACAGCTAGGTGTACAGTCCACACCACCTTAATTATGTTCTGCACCAGCTTGTCCCACCATCTGCACCTGTATGTTGTGTGGCGGCACGCCTGACCTGACCTGACCTGACCTGACCTACATCCGTGCTCGCACGTCGGCAGGAGTTCGGTCTGGTGGACCGGCGGGAGCAGGCGCCTCTGCAAGACCTCATCGATCGCCTGACCAGCCGACAGTCGGCGGCAGCGGCTGGCTGCGCACCGCGGCCACTGACGCGCCGCGGGATGGCGCCGGTACGCCGCGCTGGCCGACACGCCTGACACGACCGACACGCGTGACATATTCGTGATGACACCTGACACTGACCAGCAGACAGGACCAGTTGGCACCGCGCTCACTTACACGACTGACACCATATCACTGGCATGATTGGTGTAATGTCACTTCAGTGGCTGACACCACGTCACTCGCATATCTGGCGTAATGATACTGACGCGGCTGACGTAATGACACTGACGCAGCCGACGTAATGACACTGACGCAGCTGACGTAATGACACTGACGCAGCTGACGTAATGACACTGACGCAGCTGACGTAATGACACTGACGCAGCTGACGTAATGACACTGACGCAGCTGACGTAATGACACTGACGCAGCTGACGTAATCACACGGACGCGGCTGACGTAATCACACTGAGGCTGCCGACAAATTGCGGACTGACAATAGCACTATACTGGCACCGACGCCGAAGTGCTCGACTCACTGGCGGTGATGCTCCGAGACCCGCGGTCTGCTGTCGCCGCTTTAGGCCGCCGCTGTACCGGGCTTTCTCTGACGGGACGAACGCACGCCAGCCAGCGGCGCTGTCATGTTAAACATTCGATTTTTGAGGGTGCGAAAGTCCAGCTTCGGTCGAACGGCCCAGCGTACGCAGGTGCGTGCCGGGTCGATAGACACCCTTAGCAGGTTGCCAACGCCATCCGGGACGTCATACCGGGACAGGTGACGTCAGACCAGGACAGGTAACGTCGGGTCGGGGCAGGTGACGTCAGACTGAGACACGTGACGTCGGACCGGGACATGTGACATTGGCGCGGGACAGGTGACGTCGGACCGTGGCAAGTGACAGACTGGGACAGGTGACGTCGGACTGGGGCAGGCGATGTCAGGCCGGGATAGATGACGTCAGACCGGGACAGGTGACGTCATGGAGGCGGGCGTGACTGCTCCCCCCCCCCCCCCCCACGGTGTGCGGCGGACTCAGCACGAGCGCCTGAGAAGGACCAGGGCAGATGCTGGTGCATGCTCGCCTTGATCTGAATAACTTAGGAACCACTACAGAGACCAACCTGGGACCATGCTGTGATTATGCTTCATGATAATGACCTTGCCTTGTGAATTGCGACCATATGCCACACGTCACAAGGTTTGGTAGTTCTTGTGTATATTATGGAGTTAGTTCTGTATTGCAAGCTGGTGATTATTTGTTGCTGGCATTGGTGTTGATAGGTCCCGAAGCCACGTCAGCATTAGTTCCATTCGTCGAGGAGGTTGATTCGCTTTAAATGCATAATATTTGCCCATCCAGTTTGTGGTTACGTCTGCTTACTTGGGGGCGTATCTTGCGGACCGTGTATTCACCTGTTTTGCTTTCGCTTGCATATGTGATAGCTCTTGCGCTGATTTGGAGTACAACTCTTGGAGCGTGTTAAAAGGCGCATTTCATTGTTTCGTCTGAGGGCTTCTGTTAGAGTGTAAAAGAGTACGCCGTCCCAGCCGAGTATCTGTGACGTGTTCGTCAATATGGTTTGGCCAGCAAGCGGCGGGCAAAATTGCCATGCTCATATGAACAGTGCATCCACTTCGATGAAACATCCTGCAAATACCAAACCCTACGCGCCTTGGGGAGCAGAAAAGGCTCGCCTATTCTGTGGTCGGTTCTGTACTTACGAGGTCACGAGCTTCACTTTGATACGCGTCGTTTCTTAATGTTTTAGTTTATCTCAATATCATTTGTTTGCACTTGATAGTTTATCGCGTGTCGTTGCGTGCGTGATTGTCGGGACACCCCAGTGCATGTTGTGCGCGTCTGGCTCAGTGGCACGACCCCTCGCCCCCAGCAGTAATCTGGCTTCGGTGAGTGTGACGTCCAGTGAACTTCGCCCAGCAGCCCCGGTCCGAGCGGTTCGGTTTCAGCGGTGTTCATGGTCTGACGTCAAGGTCCGCGATAAAGCGATCAGAGAAGATACGCGCAAGAGCTTTTTATGATAGGATTAGGATTCGTACGTCTTGTACCATGCTGTAAGAGCTATGGTTTCATTCGTTTCGTACCATGCCCTAGGAGCGACTGTTTTATACGTTTTGTACCATGCTGTAGGAGCAAGGGTTTTATACGTTTTGTACTATGCTGTAAGAGCAATAAACAATATGCACCGCTTCTAAACACCTTTTCGTGGATTAGTTTACTCATGCCTTACGACGGTAACCGGACAAAGCGCGGATCATTCGCAGGGCGTTTGGCCGTGACGACACGTACCTGAACTGAGAACGTGGGCTACGAACAAATCATGCGCA